CCTGGGGTGGCACTTGGCTGGGGAATACACTGGCAAAATTTCAGCTTCAAAGCTTGCGTGGTTAGCGAGTTGAAATACCCGGACAGACGAACACACACACACACGCATACAAACATACACACACACTGACACGGTCGTTGCAATATGCGTTTTTGCTGCTTGTTGCAGCGCTCTAGCGCTGCACGACAAAAACGCATAAAAAAGCATCTTCGCACGGGCAGCCCGTACGTTGGCCAATTATTTCAATAGTGGAGACAATACGAAATCTTGCCTGCAACATGTAATGATCGCTCCCCATATTGAGAACAGATACTTGATAATGTGCCAAACATCAACCAAGGCGTAACCGGTTTCGCTCATCTTTTTTGCGTTTGGCGCAACCCAAATTCATCTCCAGCTCGCATCTTTCCGAGACCACGTATTACCAATAAACAGCTTGTTCGTCTCCTCAACCATCTTTGCTAGTCTATTAAATTCGCAGTTTTTGCCAGTATTGTGTGCACAAACGTGTCTCTCTCCATTCTCCCTCCTTCACCCGAAGGTTTGAGCTGTAAATTCTCTAGAACGGCAATGTATTTGAACTTACCGATACTGTTTCCGGCTCGCTATGAAATTTCTGGCGTCTTTTTCGCTGGTAATGCTTGAAGCTTAAAATTTTGGGGATTTTTTACCTTTGGGAAAAATTATTCTCAAGGTTATTTTCCGCATTTTTGAATAATCTTGAGAACATTTATTGGTACCTAGCCTGGGAAGTATGCTGATTCGCGACGAATAAAACTTGAATAACAGAAACAAATTTGAAAGCGATTAGTCAGTTCGAGATGATCTTCAAAACGCATATTGTCGATAGGCTATCTGCGTGTGTGTGTTCGGAAAGCGAGTGCATTTTGTCACCCACTTTATCTCAGCAACCAGGAAAGATGGGAGGCTGAAACTTTGGATATATGTTCCTACCCCGTGTGTCATGCTCCCGCCTTAAGATCTTTCCCCATACGCGCCTAGACCCCGCGTACGGGACCCCCAAAGAAATGTGTTGACGGGAAACGATTTCGCGAACCAGGCAACGTAGAAAGCTGAAACTTTGCAGGGATATACCCTATGCACGTGCGAGCTAAAAATTTTAAACTCAGCTGTCGAGCACCCCAACCACAGCCTCAAGCAGCTCCTCAACCCAAAAATCGTTAGTAACTTGGACCTGAACCGCAATCGCATATGTAAATGGACATGGATTATTTGATAAACGACCGTTCGAGCAATATTTTCAATTTTCAATGGACTGGAAATTTGCATTTTTTCAAAAAATTTGCATTTGTCATTTTTTCACAAAGCGAGCATTTACCGATTAAGCCCTCACAAACGGGCCTTGAAAGTCTTTCTTGAAAAATTCGACCCCTCAAACGCAGCAAGGTGCGCCGCAACAAGACGGCAACAACAGGACCTCTTGTGAAACCCGGAAACAACATCCCCTCTCTCCCCCCCCCCCCCCCCCCCC